ACTTTTTTTCTCACAATTCTGAGAAAGAAGTTATAATTATTAAATATAAACTCTCGCAATTCTGGTTTTTCCACCACAAAATAAAGCAAAGTCAGAATTGCAAGATATAAACTCACAGTTCTGACTTTTTTCTCACAATTCTGATCATATTTTTTTCTGAGTTCTGAGTTTACATCTCGCACTGCTGGGGAGTTTTCTGCCACTGAATAAAACAAAACGGCAATTCAGACTTTTTTCTCACAATTTCAAGTTTTTGTCACAGAATTCAGATTTTTTTTCTCGCAATTCTGAGTATTCTCGCAGTTTATATCTCACAATTCTGACTTTATTCTTCGCAATTCTGACTTTTTTCTCGCAATTCTGCGTTTGTATCTCACAATTCTGACTTATTTCTACAACGCTACGTTTATATCTCACAGTTCTGACTGTTTTTCACGCAATTCTGCGTTTATATCTAAATTTTGACTTTTTTTCTCGCAATCAGACTTTTTTCTCGCAATTCTGCGTTTATATCTCACAATTTTGACTTTTTTCTTCACAATTCTGACTTTTTTCTCGCAATTCTGCGTTTATATCTCAATTTTGACTTTTTTCTTCACAATTCTGACTTTTTTCTCGCAATTCTGTTTATATCTCGCAATTCTGACTTTTTTCTCGCAATTTTGTTTATATCTCGCAATTCTGACTTTTTTCACGCAATTCTGTTTATATCTCGCAATTCTGTTTTTCACGCAATTCTGTTTATATCTCGCAATTCTGTTTTTCTCGCAATTCTGTTTATATCTCGCAATTCTGCTTTTGTATCTCGCAATTCTGATCTTTTTTCATTCTCGCAATTTTGTTTATATCTCGCAATTCTGACTTTTTTCTCGCAATTTTGTTTATATCTCGCAATTCTGACTTTTTTCTCGCAATTCTGTTTATATCTCGCAATTCTGACTTTTTTCTCGCAATTCTGCTTTTGTATCTCGCAATTCTGACTTTTTTCTCTCAGAACTGAATTCGAGTCTGAATTGTGAGATAGTCACAATTCCCTTTTTTATTGTTTTAATCCCTGAAATAAGCTTCCACATAATAATATTAACTAAATAAATGTAATTGTTTTCTCAATGAACAGATTTATGTTGATTTTAATCAATTTAAATAAATGCATTTTGAAATGAAATAGATGCAAATAGTTAATAATAAACAATGGCATGATTTTTTTGCACAGTATGTTTCATTCATGTACAGTATGACTGACAGATATGCGTCACGGTATTTATATAAGTTTGTTAAAACTCCAAATTTTATATTCAATTAAACTGCATACATTTTCAATTTAGGCTTAATTATTTCTTTCTAAAATGCAGAATCGCAACATGCACAATGTCATCTGTTTTTCTACTTGATTTGCAGGTTCGAAAGATTGCCGAAAACACTCCAGCAAAAGCCTAGTGTGGTACATCCGTACTTTTGCATTGCTTCAGACATGCTAGTGTTCTTGTCCTTCAGTAAATTTTGAACATCTGAAGTTGTATTTTGCCAGTGCTAAAGATGTTTGACTAATTCTCTCCTTGTGCCACATCATGTTGTTGTAGCCAATTGAATTACTATGATTGCAGTGGAAAAGATGATGTTTTCCTCTTGGTGGTTCATAATGTACATACTTGTTCTTGCTTTTATGAACTGATTTTTTTTTGTCAAATGCAGAACTGAACTGTAAGCGATCTTTTCCATCCTCAGAAAGCAAACCTGGGCAGTGTCATCTCTGTTTATTTAAGTGCTCCTCACGTGGAGGATTGTGAGATAAAGATTATTTGACGCAAACAGCAGCGTACAGCTGGTCTTTGCTGCTTTCTCAGCACGTTTGTCAGACGGATGCGTTGTGTTTGTCACTTGAGTGTGATTTCAATAAAGAGAGACGATCTAGAAGCTCAAAACATCCTCCACATCCACTGCCAGATGACATTTTCACCTCAATAAAGTGGATCAAGTGCTGATTTCAGTGCAAATTTAACACACAAACCAACAATTAAGAGTTTCCGTAAATGTAATCAGCATTTCTGTCATGTTTTCAGGTAAAAACATCTTTAAAAGGGAAGTGTGTAATGCTGAACATAACAATAATGGCGAAGAAATGGTGGAAACTTGTCGTTATTTGTCTTTATGATGCATTTCACCTTTAAAGCGATACATTTATTTGAGATGCAAATTGCATAAGATATTAAGGCTTGTTTTAAGATGATATATATATGAATTTTTTTTTTCTTAATTTATGCATACCGAAAAAATGTAGTGTGCGTCTGCATTGAAAAAAAAACAATTAAAGTTAAAACAATTTTCACTTGAAAATCCCAAGTAAATTTCACAAATAATTACAAATACATGGCAAGTAACACTGAATTAAACATTATATTTAAAACCAGACTAAATACAGACTAGAATACAAACAATTTTAACAACATAAATGATTGAAGGTGAAGTGTGTAATGCCGAGCATAATAATAATGACATAAAACAGTGGAAACTTGTTTGAAAACAGTCATTATTTGTGTCTTTATGACGAACTTCACTTTTAAAACTATGCATTTATTTGAGAAGCAAATAGCATAAGATATTAAGACTTGTTTAAAGATGATATATTTGAAATTGTTAAAATTGCTTTGTTTTTCTTAATTTATGCATACTGAAAAAAAAACTGCATTGAAAACAATTACTTACAAATTACTGCAAAGAAATGATAAGTAACATTGAATTAAACATGAAATTTTAAACCAGACTAAACTAAAATGTAAACAATTTTAAAAGCACAAGTTTTTGAAGGTAAAGTGTGTTATGCGGAGCATAATAATAATGATTCGACCAGTGGCATAAAAATGGTGGAAACTTGTTTGAAAACAGTCATTATTATAATGCATTTATTTGAGAAGCAAATGGCATAAGATATTAAGACTTATTATAAGATAACAATTGTGAGATTGTTCAAATTGCTTTGTTTTTCTTAATTTATGCATGTGCAAAAATTTGCATAAATCTTCACTGGAAATTTTCACTCGGAAAATGCAAGTAAATTTCACAAATAATTACAAATAAACGGCAAGTAACATTGAATTAAATGAAATTTTGAAGTAGAAAAAATTAAATAATATTTTCTCGTAAAACACAGATAATCTTTAAAAAAAATGTCAAAAAAATATATTTTTTAAGTGTGCTTAAAAATGCAATTTAACTTTTTTCATTCTAATTCAAGAGATATTCTCTGAAAACAAGTCTAATACTGTATGCTAAGTTAAATATGCAAACTCTACATAACTAGACTGTGATGGTTAACTTTCAAATCACAGGTTTAGCTGAGAAAGAAAATGGCATAAACTGAAAATAAATGTCAAAACAGGATGACGAATGTAATCCCAGCACAACACGAGATCTGCCAACTGACAGGATGAAACATCTACAGATCACACAGAATAAGTCCAGCCGGTTGCAGCCTTCGCTGCGTTTCTTTGCCATCTACTTTGTGCAACATGTTTATAGACATAATGGTGAGCATTTGTGAGCCGTGGCCTTCTATTCTTGTTAGTGGTGATGCAACTCAAGTGAAGAATCGTGACCATCAGAGAATCGCCGTGTTCCAGTGCCTGGATTTGTTATAAAGCTTCTTCAGTGCATTTTTGCTATGAAATAGATGAGTGCATCCGGGAAATATATCACCTGCATTTCAGATCAGACTAGATTTGGCGCATTGTTTGCAGGGCGATCCTTTTATACCAGTAATGTTGACAAAATAAGAGTCTGGAGACTGTTCCACTTTGTAGGTTTTTTAGAGTCATTCAAATAAACGTTTGTTACTTTATTTTGCTATTTAAAGATGATTTGGAGATGCAGCTGTGTTTGAGTGAGAGAAACGAAGCAGTGATTTTGTCCTGTCTAATGTGTGTGTGTGTGTGTGTGTGTGTGTGTATGTGTTAGTGTGTGTGTGTGTGTGTGTGTGTGTGTGTGTGTGTGTGTGTGTGTGTGTGTGTGTGTGTGTGTGTGTGTGTGTGTGTGTGTGTGTGTGATTCATTTTCTGGATTGGTTTTGATTTGTTTTCTGTTGTAAGTTGTTGTTGTTGTTGTGTTTCGTTACAGCTCATCCTCATCATCGTCTGTCTGTTCTCATCCTGTAGTAACTCGATAATGTCATGTACATGACCGTCTGTAGCAATAAATGTGCCATTTTTATGACCTGCCATTTTTTATGACACACACGCACACACTCACTCACATACTCACACACACTCACACTCACACACACACTCACACACACAGACACACAAAGCTCATGCTTTGTTTTGTTTGTTTGTTTGTTAAATGATTTGCATGAATTAACCAAAAAAAATTATGTTTGTTTATTTATTTGTTTGTTTGTTTGTTTTTATTTTAAAGGCAGTGGCTCATAACAATATTTTTTATTATTGATATAATTAATAATAATAATAAAGTTATGTCATTATTAATATTATTTGTATTATTGTGTGTTGTTATAAATAACTAATGAGTATCTTTTTGATTTTTTTAATAAATTTTTTTTATATATTTTTAAATATAACATTATTATAAGTTCTGGTCTTGTATTCCTCTAGGTCTGTTTTTCAGTTAAATGGATGAATAAGGGCATTTAATCCCAAAGCATCCATTCTTTTTTTCTTTGCCTTTATTTCTAGCAGTTCTTCATTATATTCATACTGCTGGGTCAGTATTTTACTGGATTCTGAAGGACTGGATATAAATGGATCTGACTCTAGAACTTATTCAAAATTCCTTAAATAGTTTGGGATCATTTGAGCCCAAGAAGATTCCCAAATATGGTGAGGGATAACATCCGCTCTTGTGTGAAGCAGATTTACAGTAAAACCCTGCTGCTTTTCATGGGCTTTATTTCTCATTGTGGCTGGAAGGGGGCGTGGCTCCGGCTCACGGGCGTGGCTCAGGCCACGCCCACAGGCGCATAGGTGATCCGCACAGGTGTGAAAGTTACCGGCACTTTCAGCAAGAACAAACACACCTGAGAGACACGAGAGGACACGGATCTGCTCCGCAACCAACGGTAAACTCACTTTACTCCATTTCACGCTGCATTTACACTATACGAGTTTTAATAGATCGATTATCGTTCATCTGCGACACAAAGTGCGATCTTGATCATTTCTGATGTTTTAATATGAAATCGTATCCGGTGTTACTTCAGATTTAGTAACATTTAAATACGTTTTTTGTAACAAAAGTCAGAAATAGTAGGCTAATAGTTTATTGAGAGTTGATCATTTAAATAGAAAAAAATGGTATGAACTTTAGACATGTACCATGTTTCTATATATAAGAAGCATGGTATTACCATGGTGTTATAATGGTTTTAAAATCATATGGCATATTTACCATGGTATTTACCATGATAGTACATCGTAATCTTGCCTGTTACTGGTACATATACATTTTATGTGTGTGTGTGTGTGTGTGTGTGTGTGTGTGTGTGTATGTATATATATACACACACACATATATTATCATGGTGCATTATTATTATTATTTAAATAACAGACATGTACCATGGTTATATATATATATACACACACACACACATATATATATATATATATATATATAT